TGAGAGATTTCACGGGGAATATGTCACCATGTAATATGAGTGGCGGTAGAAGAAGACGGACACAAACAAGTAATCCTTGCCACGCATGCAATCCGCTAGGGCTAATAAGTCAGAAACAGGTTTACACTTGAAGAAAACATGTGTATACTACTCACTACAGGAGGGGCAGCAGATTCCTCGGTCAGGATCAGCAGGTACCACACGTTGACAGTCAGAAGGTGGTCCTGCACACCTCACACGACTACAGAAGTCATCTGAATCGTACACACACACAATAGGGAAATTGCAGATGGCAATGAATCTACCTGTCGTTCACATTGTTAACTCTATAGATCACTACTACAGAGGACACTCAGCACTCTGTGCAGACTGCTGACCAGCCGGTCACACACATAATAGTCTGTGCATTACTAGGCTGTGCATGAGGGTGTTCAGTGGGTGGTGACATACCTACACATGATCTTATGACTGGGCAGGGAGGGATGAGACACTGCACAGGCTCCAGGACACATCTCTCGCTAGGTCGGCACGGATTGCCTCGTGTACAGCTGGGACTGCAGTATATCTCCCCCGTAGACTGGTCCACTAGACAGTCCTCATCTCGATCACAGTTAGCATAGCGACAGGGATCTGGAAGCCACACACATACATACAACCTTTACTACAGGAAAGACTGTTTGCTAAGGAGCCACATATTATTGCTCAGACTATTGCAACTGATCTAGTAGCATTTCCTAGTCTAAGAACCTTTTTCAAATCCAAACGGTATATGCATTATAGTAATGGAGTGGAGTTTTAGAGCAAGACCAATCGATCAAGGGCTGAGCTTCATACACAACAATGACAAGCAACAAACCACTCACCACAAACGTTTTTGCACTCATCTCGAGTGCAGAAGTTGTTGTTGTTCCCTTCACATCCACCATAGATGAACCGCTCACAGCGACCAGTGGTGACATTGTAGCCAAAGGCGGGGATGGATGCACGGCAAGGGCCAGTTGTGATGGGCTCCAGGCAGTGACTGAAGCTGGGGCACTCTTCTTCTGCCACACACCTGTCCCCCAGAGCCACTGTCCCTGGTGGACACTGGCAGCCCTCTGGAGAGGAGAGAGAGAGAGAGAGAGAGAGAGCCAGGGTGAGAGGGAGTGGAGAGAGTGTGAGTAGTGAAGAGAGGTAGAGACAGATAGGGGAGAGGTGGGACGATCGGTATTATCCTACAGAGGTGGTATATATATATTCATGCCAGCATCATACATGCATGGATGCTCAATGTACGTATGCAGACAGGCAATAGCTATTGGCAGCTCACCGACACACTGGAGAGTGCAGAATGTTAGCTCATCTCTGTTGTCACAGGTACGTGGGCAGGCAGACCCACAGCGAGTGAACACTTTATCTCCAGGACACTCGGCCTCTGAGAATGACGCAAACATTCATTCTACACAATGCTCTTCAACAACTATAATTAGCCAACCTAATATCAGGCTGTGGGATGAAAGGGAACTTTAATAATGGGAGTGCACTAACCCATGCACCCCGATAAGGCACTGAGGCACCCACGGGCATGTGTGCAACTCCCATATGCAAACAGAGTGAGGTAGCAAGGCAATCTCAAATTACACCTAGGACAGCTCTTGTTTTCCCGAAAAAGAGCTGTATGTGTCTGTCAGTCTGAGCTTGTATGTCTGTTCTTTACCTACAATACATATATGTACATACCAGGGCACTCCTCCTGGCATTCCTCCAGAGTTTCAAATCTGTTATCGTTTCCAGCACAACCTCCGTAGGTAAAGTTCTCACATTTCTTTGTGTAACTGTTGTAGTAGTACTTAGGGAAACTCCCCCTAAAGATGCAGCAGAAACATCAGGGAAGAATAAGAACCACATACACAATAACAATTACTAGCTATTCACAAAACTCCAGGCAGGACATACAATTATTTATTACTTTGCATCATTGAGAAATGACACATTCAGATACACGAGCACATCTTGTACACTATTGTTATTACGTGTATATATTTCTATACAAAGGCTAGTTTATGGCGTCCAGCAGTGTTACCTGCAAGGCCCAGGGTCTACTCGCTGTTGGCAGCGATGGTTGGGACACTCCTGTGGCATCACACAGCCTCCCTCGTGCTCCACCATCCCTCCTCTACAGAAACAACCTGCACCAGAACATTGTGCAATGTGTCTAAATTAGCAAGCATAAACTTCTATGTAGCACATGTCATTGTGTAATAAAAAAAAAAAATTTGACTGATGTGCATAATGCAGCACTCCTGCTAACAGAGATATTACACACATTTCTGACTGTTGTTCAGACTCACCTTCAACACACTGTAGTGTGCAGCCAATGGAAACGTTGTTATAATTGTCACAAGTGGACGGACAGGCTGTACCGCAGGAACTGAACCTCTTCCCTGGAGGACACTGAATGAGAGAACAGTGGTGTATCACAACACCGTACACTGTATGTCGGAATATTTTTGCATTATAGCCAAAGAACGCACATAGCTAGCTAAAAACCAAGAACACACGTAGGTAAAAAGTAAGATTGGAAGCTTCAGCGTAAAATAAACGTGGAAAGTTTTTGTTGCTTTTGAAACTCGCATCTTCAGAACAGCCTTGCTACAAATCGGGAGCCTATAAAGTCTTGTACATGAGTATAAAAACCATTTCTCTGAATAAGGATGGGAACAAGAGAGAAGGGTCGCCAATCACGGAAATGACTAGGAAAAATATTCTGAGCTAGCTACTATTCACTCAACTGTCACACTGACTATAGAGCTTCACCCACCACATGCAAACCAGCCATGAGCAAATTGCGGAAATCTTTTATACAGCACAAGTAGAACACATAATTGCCGAGCGCGTTAGCGTGAGGCAACTACTCCGGGTTGTATTCTCGCGATATACGTACGTACGTATGTACGTGTCAGTCACGCTAAAGAATGTCAATTAGTCATGCTTAGGGAATGTCAATTAGTCACGCTTAGGAATGTCAATTTCCACCGTGTGCGCAGATTCGTAGGAAGTCTGGCTTCACGCGCAGTCAGTAGAGCGAGTGCACGAGCGGCTTCAGTCGGACTGTTTACGCATTGGCTGGCAGGCGCAAGGTAAAATATGCGTGTGCGCATTCCTAGTATACATATTGGAGAGCGAGTGTAATGTTTCGCGCGTGTTTGCACGTATTTAGAATGACGTAGAACATTACGGTATGTACAGCGCCGACAGATAAAAAAATTCCCGCATTGGTAGCTCCAAACTTAGACATCCTTCTTCACTGAAAAGGCTGCATTTATTGTGCTATATACAATTGAATTATATTTGAGGTTACCCCAGCAATTGCAGCATACTTATGCTTATATCCAACTTGCGTTGGTGTACAAACTAACCATAGGAGGTGGTCGTGGTAATGATGGTCCTGTTGGTCTTCCGCCCGACGGTGGTCCTGTCGGTCTTCCGCCTGACGGTGGTCCTGTTGGTCTTCCACTTGACGGTGGTCCTGTTGGTCTTCCACTTGACGGTGGTCCTGTTGGTCTTCCAGCCCGGCGGTGGTCCTGTCGGTCGTCCGCTTGACGGTGGTCCTGTCGGTCGTCCACCTTTTGGTAGATCTTCTGTGTGTGGCGGCTCTCCAGTTACTGGTGGGTCTCCAGTTACAACACTCTCTCCAGTAAAAGGTATGGCTGTTGTCCCTACTGCTGACCCATCATCTTCTGTGTGTGGCGGCTCTCCAGTAAAAGGTATGGCTGTTGTCCCTACTGCTGACCCATCATCTTCTGGGGTTTTAGCACAAGTTGTCTCAATGTGGGTGTCAGCTACTATGAGCTTTCTATGCATCAGACAACTCTATCCACGTAATTGAGAAGCGGACAATTAAGCTTATCACACTGGGCTTTAATTTATCTGGTCGATGAAAATGCACTATTGGGCATGCACTCTATTATCAACTTTGAACTTTGAGACACCGCGAAGGAAGCTGAACACAAAGTACACAACACCACTACTACATTAAGAGCTCACGATTTGGACAGAACTCTGCAGGGACACAGGTGTCGTCCAGTTCAACCAACCCAGATGGACAGAAACAGCCTGTGAGATCATACATACATTGAACACGAGGTAAAACACAGTGCGAGATGATGACACGGAGTACATACCTCGAACACACTGGAAGGTGCATATCTGTGGACCGGGATTGTCACAGGTCAGGGGACATGCAGTACCACACTCGTTGAACTCCTTGACCCCTGGACACTACAGTGACAGAGCATACACCTGGACACTTGGCAAAAACTAACTCCATCCATAGACACAGTTGTCGCTATCTAAACACACCACTACTGTTATTATAGTGCTGTGTCTCATAATCCTCATTAAAATTTCACTTCATGCTGTCTTGGTAATTTACAAATATGCCAGCTCACAGCATTCGGATGAAAGCACTTGTAGCTTGACTAGTATATAATTGGTGAGCCTTCCTAGTCGTCTAAATGCAGAATTTTTTGTAACGGTCAACCGACTCCATATACCAACATGTTTACATGATTCTATATACGTGCGATAACACGCGCGAAATATTAGTTCTAGTTATTTATACGAACCTGAGGTGTCCCTGGAGTTGGGGATGGTCTTGGAGGTCTTGAGATCTCTGAGGAACAGAGAGTTTGTAGTATTTGTGCCACCTCATACAAATCTCTACTAAGAGACTTTAGCTATAAGGATGTACTATAGGGATGACTTAATTCTCGCTACTTTAATAATATCAGGCGGAACCCATCCTTTCTCCATCCCCTTGCTATGGCACACTTGAAAGGTCTAAACTGAAAGTTCAGGCTATAATCATTACCAAGACGAAGACTTACCACTAGGGCAAAACTGTGGTGGGACACAGTGTTCTCCATATTCCACCAGCCCACGTGGACAGAAACAACCTGTAATTGGAGGACACAATGTGTTGGTCTAATTGGTGACTGCTGAAACATGCATTCAGCACAGACCTTGGACACACTGCAAGGTGCACCCGAAAGTTGTGTTGATGTTGCCACAAGTCCGAGGACATGCTGTGCCACACTCTCTGTACTCCTTCACTCCTGGACACTGGGGACAGATATCAAGACTAACTTGAGTCACTCATTCCACTGAAAATGGTAATTATTTTTGGTAAATTATATGAACATTACATATTCGCGCTCAGCAACTATGCACTCAGTCAGACCCACAAAATAGTATGCACTTACACAAATCTCGTACTAAATCGCATTTACTAAGTGTCTCTGGTGGTACTTCACCATGCAACTCTCACTGGTGTAAAGCCAGGTTCATTAGTAAGTGACCTTGGAAGCCATAGAAATAAAAGTGCCACAACGTGGGCATACTCCATACCACAGACCGCACCCGACCACTTCCTGGGGGGATATTCATATCCACCTGAGGGTATGAGTATCCGACCAATGAGGACAGCGAAAAAGCAAAAACGATGTTCTGTGTGGCGGATCTGCCGTGAAAAAGTCCTAAACCACACCACTGAGGTATCGCTTAGGCCGAGGGTCGGTCCTGAGGACTGCGGGAGGAGCGCTGTAGTCCGCGTTTGAACTGTCTGCAGTGTGCGCGATCGGCAACGTGTAGACCTTCACTAGAACTTTCTTCCACGGTGTTCCTGGGCTACAAAACGGTTAACCCACGGGTGCTGAAGCGGTACTGGATATCCCCTCAGCTGTTTCAGCGCCCGTGGGTTAACCACTACATACATCCATTGAAAATTTACACACGATAGAAGCCCTCGGGGACTACATACGTAATGCCATGCCTCGTGCTATATGCTTGGAAAGCTACAGCACAAGGACGCTCTGGCTTCTAATGTGCATAAATTTCATGAATTCACCGTTAACTGTTGGAAAGCCAATAAATAATGTACATAATTATAATGCATACACCTACACCATGTATACACCTACCTCGGGTGTGCTTGGGGTAGGTGATGGTCTGGGAGGTGTCTGAGGAGGTGATATGGTTGGTCTTTGAGGTCTCTGAGTCGCTGAGGAGCAACAAACATAACACGGGTGATACGTGATTACTTTATATCGCAGTTACTAACGTGAGGTTGATGCTTACCCATACCGCACACCCCGTGTGCATCAATTAGGTTTGACAGCTCACTGTTGGGTTTAATGTAGTGTACGTATGCAGATTGTAGAGATTCGCTTTAATTTACGTAGCAATGCCACATATTAAGAATATTAGAAATTACTGCATTTATACCTCTCTGCAATGACCACATGTCCGGGTCTCTTTAATGAATTTTTCGTGAGCGAACACGAGTGCAAACTCTCACGATGGCAAAAAAATCATATGTTTAGGTGGGCTCACTTTTCTTGCTTGCTATACACATGCATACTGATCGAAAGTCAGAATTTATTCGACTCATTCTCAGAGTTACGTATGTACACACATACGTTCACAGCGGTCTCGGCAGTCCTCCAGAGAGCGGAAGTTGTTGATTCCTCTCTCCCTACATCCATAGAACCTTTGACAGCGACCTCTCGCTTGGTTGAAGTAATACCGCACTGTCGATTCCGACTCACTAGTGAATGGAGATGATGGAGGGGGAACAGTAGCAGACAGGAATTATTACGTACATGTACATGTACATAAAAAGTAATGTAGTAAAATACAGACTGGCACTACAAGTATTGGTTGAGAGGTATGGAGCGGTTTGTGACAGATATCAACATCCGTCAGAGGCAAATTCGAGCGTATTCGTGGTTCTAAAGGGTCTCAGTTATAAGTATACGTAAGCCACCTAACCTCAGGTATCTTATCACTAAGAGACCTGTGGGTAGGTGTCTTACCCCAAATGAACCTTATTAGCTATTCATTTTCAAAGCATACCATTTTATTACATAAGACATGCAGTGTGGTACACACCTGAGCTGTCTAACATATGACTTATAGTATTTCGACACAAAACGAAACTTCAGTCAAATAAAATCTATGTAAGCTGGGGGAAACGATCAGTGAGAAATCAGGAAAGAGACCGAAACATGGATTTTGTAAGGGAGTATAGCAGGGCACCCTTCCACTTCTACCGAGTAATTTCCAAATACATGTACTCTCCCACTAACTTGCAGGGGCGGCTCTGGCGTCTCATGGTACAGACGGCAGTCCAACACCTGTCCGGAGGAACGCAGCGGTCCGAGTATGGCCCCGCCGGAATGAGACCATCCTCACAGGAACAGCCCGGGAAACAGAAGTCGGAGACAGGCCGGAGTCTCGGAGGGAGGTGGTGATTCTCGCAGGAGAGGCCGCAGTTCCCGGCACAGTGTCTGAAGATCTGGCCGCGGGGACAGAGAGCTCGGGGGCACTCCTCGGGCTTGGCACATTCGTTGTTTTCGCCGTCGGTTCTCACTGGTATGAGACCGGGCGGACAGAAACAGCCCTCGAAGCAGAACCCGCCGCACAGTGGCCGCTGCTCGAGTGGGAGGTGGTAGTTCTCGCAAGAGAGCCCGCAGGACGTGGCACAGTCAGTCAGAACGTAGTCACCTCGACATCTGGGGTCTGCGTGAGGTAGCCACACCTTACTACACAGCCTAGCCCAACACTCGACTATGTAAGCCTACCACCACACCACTACTTGAGCCACTACAGCCCACACACACAGACACAGCTGTTGAGTCTCCTCTCCCCACACAGAGTCCACTACTTGTAAGGTTGCTAGTTTACATTGTGAGCAATGCCAGTTGGACAAAAAAGGAGTGAAATCCCTTTCGCTCCAGACTTCGCTGGAGGTGATCAGGTGAACCTTTATCACTGATAGTGTCTCCCTAGCCCTCCCACTCACGCACACCCACACACTACTACGGAACTCACTGAACACTCAACACCACCTTACACCTACTCTACTCTACTCTCACACCTACTCTCACACCTACTCTACTCTCACACCTATATACACTATTCCCATATACTCCTCTTATCCTGTAAGGATTTACACAGCACTATTGTATTACAGTGCACCATTAGTAGTAGCAAATGACTCAGCAGTGAACTCACCAGAGCATTGTGCCTGACACTGGAGCTCTGAGCGAAAGTGGTTCTCGTTCCCACCGCACCCACTGTAGCGCAGTCGCTCGCAGCGCTGGTTCTCTCCATTGTAGTAGTAATAGTCTCGCAGGACAGCCCTGGGGGGTGATGAGGGGGGAAAGATCGAGGAACAACAGTAACATGACTCCAGGGAATAGTAGTGTATGTATAATACCTGCCAGTTCCAACGTCGGGAGGTAGGAGACACTGGCTGTTGGGGCACTCGGTGGGAAGCATGCACTTGTTCCCATCTTGAACCATGTTATCGGGACACGCACAGCCTGCATGTAAGACACACTGTGTCATGATAACGGCTAAAATACTGCCTGTCAGAAGCTAGTGGCTGTGAAATTAACTTGTTGACCTATCACATCAACTCAAGTGGCTGTTTATATAGATAATGGCTAAAGAGTAGCAGATGCATGCTGCTCCATGTATATACTGTTACGCAACTGGGTTATGGCCCATGCACATGCCACCACACTTTTACTTCATGAGGTTATTAATAGTGATGAATCCCTTCTTGTTTGCCCAAGAGAGAGCACTACCAGGCAGCAAAAAAGGATGGGGGAATATATTTTAAATCATATAGACTGCGTAATTGAATAAGCCGATGCACACACTGTTCTAATTTACGTTTTCAATGGATGAAATAATATCAGTGGAGTAGGTGCAAACAGGGGTAGAAAACAGCAGTGCAGGCCTTTTGAGTGCAGTGCACACACCCCGTCTCACTTTTGAGTTGTGTAGTAGCAGTCACAATATGGTCAAGCCTTTTGCAACACAAAATTATTATAAGCCTATAATATTAGGGATGCCATCGTGCAATGTTTTTACAATGTCATCCACAAACTGCTGAGTGTCTCACAAAGCCTGGCCATTTTGTCTATGTACTTGCTGCTCATAGCTAATAGCTACCAGGACCACATATCCCGTGCCAGCATATTGATGACAATACAGTGTGCAGATGATCTTGTGCATGCCCAAGACTCGTGATGGCTTTACCCTGCTTTGCACGTGCACATAGGATAATAATTTGGTAACCTGTAGGGTCACACAATTATATATACCTTGCAGACAGATGGCAAGGCAGGCTACAGGAGGGCCAAAGATGTTGTCGCAGGTCCTGGGGCAGGGACTGGCACACTCACTGAACACCAGGTCTCCAAAACAACACCTCGTACCACAATCTGGGGGAGGAAGAGGAGGGAGAGGAGGAGAAGAAGTAGGAAAAGGAGGGGGAGAAGGGTGGATTCATACAATCATCTCTGTACAAAAGACTTGGGCCAGTATAATGCACCACAACTTGGCACGAGCACCCCGACCCAGACAGATCAACATTATGTTACAGCCTTTACCACAGAGGAGGTTTGAGTCGACCGTCGAGGCCACACCGGCTGGACAGTACTCAAAGTAAGTCTTTGGGCCTTTCTTGTAGACCAGTCTGACTCTCTGTCCCTGTATCACTGCCTCCTTTGTCTGTCTCCTACGAACCTCACCCACTAATCTATTCCTGGAGTAATAGTGCAGAACCATGAGCTATACTAACTGTCTAAACTGACCTTCTCAGCTCATTACATAACATCATAATCATCATGTGATCATACATTATGTACATTACGTATGTTAATATTTAATATTGTAGGCTAATGTAGATTTAGATGCAGTCTGACAAAGATGAAGTTACGTAAAAAGTTTAAGCAGCTAGCGCATAGTGTCACGGTGTAGAGATCGGCACCTCAGAATTTTGTGTCCATTCCCACTGTAGTATAATTCCTACCCCCAGCACTAATGAGGTATAAAATCCTTTTCTAAAAACATTGGTTTGCAAAAATATTGATGGTCAGTGACGTGACCCCTGCAATTTTTAGTACGCCAAGAGACAAGATCAACATGCTGGAGACTACAGCACCAAGATGTGACGAGTGTAAGAACCACGACAATTCAGTCATACGTTTTGTCAATGTTATGAACCAAACCTGTGCATCCTGCTTAACAGCTCCAACTGCCTGCTACTCTCAAACGGAATACACTCGTCGTTGCAGGTGAGATTCACAGGTATATCCACAACCGCTTTTCGCTCTGTGGACGCAAGCATTACTACACATAAAGGCTGATACACGCAAACAGCACTGACCACTTGAGCTACACTCGTGTCCCACCGGTAGCGAGACCACGGAGCATCCTTTGCCCAACTCCATGTTCCTCACTGCAACATATTCCAGCTGGATGCGAAATTCATCGTAGGCAGTGCCGCAGATATCGGGCAATGTTCGCCCACTGCGGTACACTGTAGCTCGCACTAGGGACGTAACCACGGCGCGGGGGGCGCAAAACTTCTGGCAGAATCCGGTGGGGAGCAAGTGGACAAAGAGAAAGCCGATCAATAGCAGATCCGTAGCCCTCATGCTGCGCGCACAGTCTCAGCTCTCAACTGATCGATGCGATCCTGCGCTGGTTCATGTGTATGCGCATAGGTTTCACAGTGCGCATGCGCAAAGCGACATCAGCGTAGGGGCCAAGCGCAGAGAGCCAAGCAGGTGAATATTCTGCTGTATTTTTGGAGGCTGGTAACTACACTGGAATTATTACTTGGTTGGGGTAAACGCGCAGAAAAGGTTTTACCCGGATGCAGGGTCGTTTTATCCCGGGTTAGTTTGCACTGGTAGCTATATAGCTACTGCCAATGGCCACCCTTTCAATACTGCTGAAGAAAATCAGGCCTGGATTAGCAATCCTGGCAGCTAAATCGGCAGTTGTTTCGATTTATCAGTGAGCTCAACATCTCGCCGAGGTATGCGGGCTCTCTGTGTCGATCGCGGATCCAGAGGCTGAGGCAATGCGATAGCTAAAACCTTCGTATTCCTCAGTTGCCGGGCAAAACTTTGAAGGACGCCGCGCGAAGATAGTTTCGTGGTTGGGTCTGTCTTTTTTTGCTTCACCTCTGCATGGGCTTATGGACCAGTCTAAAAACGTGACCGAATACGAACAAAAATTGGTAGCCATCGTGAGAACTTCCTCAATTGCTAAACACACTAAAAAGTAGCTATAAGCTTATACTAGTTTTACTATTTTCTACCAGTTCATTTAATGCTGGCTCTAGCTAGCTACTTTCTTGTCACTGTTCTTGTGACGGTTCTTGTGCAGTGTGTATTCACACTGGCACATGACAGCAGCAGAAGTTAGGACCACAGCCAATGGAATTGATGCTGCTAAAGCGGAAGACTTTCAGACCGAGGCTGCCAAAAGAAGAGGACGGACGGTTCCTGTACACGTGCAGTGCAGCAGTAGCCCCCCATGGTCTGTATTTTGTCTGGGGGTCCTGGCTGCGCAGTGTATTTTTGGCACATATATGGGAGCATGTTTCTCTGTATCAGAATCTTCTCACTGCATACACTCATCCCTGTGAACCAGTGATAGATGTACAGACTGATTCTGCAATCAGTTCCATATCGGTGTGGTGTAAAGAATCAGAAACTGCCTCCTCGTTTTCAACCTCCTTTGGGTGCGGCTCAGGGTCCTGAAAGTAATGATTATGCATGAGTGTTGCAAAACTAAAATGTCTTCTCCATAGCTATATACCTCATCCTGAAGGTGCTCTGGGTCCAGATCTGCAGGAGGAGCACTCCAAGCTAGTGTGGCCGCTGCTCGAGTGGGAGGTGGTAGTTCTCGCAAGAGAGCCTGCAGGACGTGGCACAGTCAGTCAGAACGTAGTCACCTCGACATCTGGGGTCTGCGTGAGGTAGCCACACCTTACTACACAGCCTAGCCCAACACTCCACTATGTAAGCCTACCACCACACCACTACTTGAGCCACTACAGCCCACACACACAGACACAGCTGTTGAGTCTCCTCTCCCCACACAGAGTCCACTATTTGTAAGGTTGCTAGTTTACTGAGCAATGCTGTGGTGACTGGTTGGTGTTGAGTTGGACAAAAAAAGGAGTACCCTTTCACTCGCTGGTGTGATAGGAGGTGATCAGGTGAACCTTTATCATTGATAGTGTCTCCCTCCCACTCACGCACACCCACACACTAATACGTAACTCACTGTAACTCACTGAACACTCAACACCACGTCATACACCTACTCTACTCTACTCTCACACCTACACAAACAGAGTAATAAATCTATTCCCATATATATACTCCTCTTGTCCTACAATGACCTCCAACAGCTGTAAGGATTTACACAGCACTATTGTATTACAGTGCACCTTTGCAATTATTACTTGGTTGGGGTAACGCGCGCAGAAAAGGTTTTACCCGGATGCAGGGTCGTTTTATCCCGGGTTAGTTTGCACTGGTAGCTATATAGCTACTGCCAATGGCCACCCTTTCAATATTGCTGAAGAAAATCAGGCCTGGATTAGCAATCCTGGCAGCTAAATCGGCAGTTGTTTCGATTTATCAGTGAGCTCAACATCTCGCCGAGGTATGCGGGCTCTCTGTGTCGATCGCGGATCCAGAGGCTGAGGCAATGCGATAGCTAAAACCTTCGTATTCCTCAGTTGCCGAGCAAAACTTTGAATGAGTGTTGCAAAACTAAACGTCTTCTCCATAGCTATATACCTCATCCTGAAGGTGCTCTGGGTCCAGATCTGCAGGAGGAGCACTCCAAGCTAGTGTGACTGCTAGCAGAAGAACGAGAGGGCAATCTTCATGGTCCTTGGTTGACTTCCTTCCTTTATACACCAATTCAAGTCGCAGTAGGCCCTTGTAAAATTGCAGGTCTGCAGGGCACTATTTATATCCCTGCCTTGTTGGGTGGCGTGGGGTCACACACTTAGAGACACTATGTAGGAGGCTAAAAGAATGCTGTATAGCTAGAGTAGCACGATGTAGCCAGTTTCAGGGCTAGCGTGGATCAGATGCCATTTCTATTCCGTAGTCGCTGAGGTCTCACACTATAATGTTATTAGATTAATTAAAGGACCTACGATTGAGTAGTTTTTAGTTGAGTAGTTTTAATATTAATTGACTCGCCTACACAGCGATTGAAGAAAGTACGTGGCTAGCTACCTTTACTCTGAGAATTGTTCAAGACTCCCAGGTCACGTATGAAATTTAATGCTGTGCAGGCATCTGGACAATCTGAACAATCTGAAGTATTACGAGACACTGATACATACATAGCTGTTGAACACTCCGAGATGCTAATAACATTGTTAAGTCACAATGGTCTGCTGAAGGGCCTACTCCAGAAGATACATGTGACCTGAGGCTTATGGTTACCAGTGCATAATTATGATATCTTTTGTGGGAGATAAAGGAATGTAGATGTAATTTACACAAATGTAGATGACTAACACAAAGTACACTCAGTGTCACAGGTCCTTAAGACATGAGTCCATAAACTCTCTTGGATTGTGATAGCCGTACTGGCTGACTGAAGCCCTCAGTTGACATGTCTGTGCAGTCATGTATGGGCTGTTTGATTTCAGAGGCATTTCTTGGCCACACACTACACTGCTAACACCAGATATCTCGAGACATGATGCAGCTTTAGAATCCACATCTTTCCTGCTTTCAAGGCTTTGCATCCAAGACCAGAAGTGGATCATATTCTTGTAGAAATCCATCCCCTTAACCTTTTGACGGCTCATCCTTTTGAGGGCCGCGTTCTCTTGTCTGTCAGAGAAGTTGATGAGAGATGTCAGCATACACCCTCCACCAACACCACTGTATATGGCACTCCCTGCACCGTGAAGAGATGACGCAATGACTGTCACACTATATCTCATACCATACAAATTATGTCATAAGCAGCTTTTTATAAGACAATTCAAACGGCTTACACTATGTTATATACTCACGTGTACAAAAGGTATCCACGCACTTTGTTATTGCAAAACCTTACATAATGCAGGCATTTTGATAACTATGTAAGAGCTGTCAGAGAAGTTGATGAAAGCCTGCTTCCACTCCCAAACCACTGTTACATGGTGCATTCCTTGCACCAGCAAGCAATAGCTACCCAAAACAAAAGCATTACGGTATAATTATACACCCTAGCAAAAGGTTTTGTACAACTGAGAAAAGGAGTACAAATCGATGAAGAACATAAAGTAATTTATACGATGAATATGGAATCTGTGTTGTGAGACACACTATAACAAAGGCATTTTTGGCCTTTACGAGTGTCTTCCATCTTTGAACAAAGAACGTCACTGTTCAACAGCCATGTTTGAAAATCATGGCTTGTCCAACTTTCTATTCTACCTCAGCCCTTGCCTTTTAGCCAGCACTTTCTTTGGGCAAGGCAGGACTGTTTTCATTGTTAGCCTCATGGTCCTCTTCTTCACTCCAGCATGACGCTAGCACGTAGCTACTCCTTAGCTCACTGTATCAACACTCTCCGTTCTGTGCACACAGGCTTCAGTTGTAAGCTATGTGGTGGGCTGACAGTCTCTCCAGTAGGCTCAGTGGAGTCCACTCCATAAGACATTAAGATATTTACAAATATAATTATAGCCGTGAATTCTAGTCGAGAGTCCAGCATAAGACCTGTTACATTCTTGTTCCTTTTCATCCCTCTGATTCCTCCTCCTTGCTACTGGTACATTCTAACCCATCATGCATCGACAAAGATTGGTAGCAAGTAGCTACAATTCAATAAGAATTCATACCATTTTCTACACAGTACAAGTTTCCATTTTACAAGCTGTCTAGGTTATCGAGACACGAGTCCATGAACTCTCTTGGGATGGTAGCCATACGGGGAATTAGCCCTGTCTTGATACTCTGTATTATATCCTTTGTCTGGTTTCTGGGGCATTTCGTGGCCACACACTACGCTACTAACACCAGTCATCTCAAGAGTAGCTGCACTCTGAGGCTTTATGCCCTTCCTTCTTTCAACATGCTCCTCCAAATTTCGAGTCCAGTACCAGTGATCAAACATGGTATTGTAGAATGACATTCTCTTCACTTTCTCCTGGCTCATGCTTCTTAGAGCAGAGATGTCTTGTCTGTCAGAGAAGTTGATGAGAGATGTCAGCATACACCCTCCACCAACACCACTGTATACGGCATTTCCTGCACCGTGAATAAAAGATGCATGAAACTTCACTCTTGTGTATAAAGGCCCTACTTTTAACATGTAGTAGACAAGCATCTGTGTGAGTTCATAATCAAGAGATTGACAGCCCACCTGGGTAGCTATAGGAATCAAGATATCAAGATGAACAACTCTGCTTTGAGTGTATATAGAATTCGTAATCATTATATAAGTCTGTGAAACAATGCCCGAGTCTGCCTTGAGCTTGCACTGATGACAATCTCCTTAACTTTGAGCATAATTCAAGGTAGTTGAGCAGGTGGGCATAATTATTGGGTTGGATTCTCTATGAATTTGTCTGCAAAATGACAAACTTCAGGTGGTTGTCAGCCGCAGTAGCTTGGGGTCGTAGCATAATGTTGCCTTGTAGCCTGCACCATTCAAGTCAGGACCGTTTTAATTAACCCTCGGCGAGCATGCGCAGCGAGGGTTATCTGTGTGTCGACAAAGACTATCCAGTTTAAAGTGCTTCCATTAACCCTTGGCAGACATACGCAGCGAAAGGGTACAGCAATATATAGTAAATTGACAACGCATAATATATAGCCCAGCCTATCTATCATTGAGCGGTACCGCGTATGTGGTATAGGTCTAGTGCGCCGAGTGGTATCGCTTTTGTGCTATTAATTATTTCTGGGCTCATGGTCATGCCTCCTGTACTGATATGTGCACACAAGCTAAACTATGTGGTGGTCTGACAGGTATAGGGGTAGATAAATTCTCTATTTAATGAAATCTACCAAACATTCCTGCATCATTTAACTCCCTGAAATGTGCCTAAAATTCTTGCATAGTTTTGACATTATTCTCGGTGAGATTGACTGCGATTCGGCCACTACACCCCCCTATTCTTTCTTTCTTCCCGTCGGAGGGGTTTCTTGGTAACTTTGCACCCTCGCGCGAGCGTCAGCTAGTAGGGCTTTTTTAACCACTCAAGTAAGGATGGAACAGTGTCTTCCACGGGTCCAGTGTCTCCTAACTTTTTCAGCATCAAGAGATTTTTGGTCATGCGCTTTGGCGGAAAGTCAGCCAAGGTCCCTATTATTTCAGCATAATTCTCAAATGCTTTTGGTTGCCTAAAATTAAGCTGGCATAATTTATTTATCCCTAGCTCCCCAGTAGGCTCAGTGGAGTCCACTCCTGAAGGCAAAAACTACTCAAGAGTACAGCTTATAAAGTCACTCCTCCTCCTTGCTACCAGAGTCACCCCAGTAGGCTCAGCAGGGTCCATTCCTGGTAAAACAGCTAGGTCCAGTCCAGAGTCCAGCCTTTGTTGTTTCCCCACCTTTCTGGTTCCTTTCCCATCCTTACTACCCACCATTCTAATTCATCTGACATTGACAACGATTGGTAGCCAGATTATAACACATCATGGTTTGTACCAGTCAATATCTACACATTATATTTAGTCACTGTCATGGGTATCAAGACAAGAGTCCATAAACTCTCCTGAGTCATTGTAGCCATATTGAGAATTAGCCCTGGCTTGATAGCTGCTTGCAGTTTTATACATGTCTTGTTTCTGGGGCATTTCGTGGCAGTACACTACACTGCTAACACCAGTCATCTTGAGTGTAGCTGCACTCTGAGGTTTTCTGCCCTTCCCTCTTTTGACATAGTCCTCCAAATTTCGAGTCCAGTACCAGTGATCAAGCATATCCCAGTAAAAGGACCTTCCCTTCACTTTCTCCTGGCTCATGTTTCTTAGAGCAGAGATGTCTTGTCTGTCAGAGAAGTTGATGAGAGATGTCAGCATACACCCTCCTCCAACACCACTGTATATGGCACTCCCTGCACCGTGAAGAGATGACGCAACGATCAAAAAGTGTGGAGTTGTTCTGCAAGATGGGCTTTAAGAACAAGACACAATACCTATTCCAAATGTAAACCCTAAAGTGAGCAGAGCTCGCTATATATAAAAAAGGCAATGGCAACAGGCATGTTGCTACGTATGTGTAACTAATGCAACATGTCAGTGGTGTTCCACAGGGGCTATGCTGACATCTCTCTAACATGAATGCAAAGCACAACTTTTGACTCCTCTACATTGGTTCCCCATAATCATGCGTAGCAGAGTCGCCGACAGTTAGCTACACATATCCATGCATGATTCAGAAATTCGGCACTCATATCAAGAGGCAAAGGTGACAGTAGTATCATGACTAGTCAATAATGTGTATTGTGACATCACCTCATCTCATCATTATACATCATTTCCAAGTCCGTCTCATACATGTACTGTATATAGGTAGCGTTACTGTGTGTAGTGCATTGGTCAGCTATCCATATTAATAATTATGTCGTATTAAACTATACCCACGAACGTGTTACGACAGTGACTTTCTACGAAGTTTAAATACCGAACAGGAAGGGTGCCAATTTGTCGTATGGGAATAGACCTTTAGCTGTCTATATGACAGGGGTTGACTCCTCTACTCTAGACATTATTTTATGGTCTTGGCATGTGATTGCAAGATGTGTGAAACTTTATATTCGAACGAAGAGAGTGTCACTATACAAGCTAAACCCAGGGAGTATAGAACTGTGTAGGCAAGAAAGTGTGGACAGCACTCACTTTATTCACTTTCAGACCTAGAAACAGTAATAGACCTGTGCGTGTGTATGGGGGTTTGAACACACGCGCACATTGCGTGGAGGGTTTGCACTGTAAGTGCTATACAGTTTTAAACCTGCCTCTGCAAAGTATTGGGTGTGGCCTGGTCTGATGGATTAGCACACACACACGTGATTGATCGATCCTCACTTTTTTGTATAAGAGAAATGTTTTGCATCACCTCTTGTGGCCAGCCCGAGTGGCTAAAGTGGTAGAAATGTGGGACTGTCACATAAGGTGCCCGGTTCGAATCCCGGACCCACACTGAAACTGACAGGTGGTCCAGAGCATTGGCTGGGAACAGCTCTGGTTCCTCCCCTTACCCACGAATCTACCATTGACCCACATACATCTCAAAGGACAGCGTATAGTTTGGCACTGCACTGCGTCCATAGACGTCTGTCTGGAGAGAAGACCCTGAGCTGCCCATTTTTTCAACCTTAGCCTAAAACAATCCATGGATACTTTTGTTTCTTATTAACTCTCACCTACACATCAATTAGTGGTACCGCACATGCGCAGTGCGCTGGTGGTTTACATTTTATATGTAATGTAAGGTTCTTATAATATTGCCATATTGTGTGTCTGAAAAAGAGCTGAAAATCCACTAACCTAAAGAGCTAGGCAGGTCAAGTGTGGTGTATCATAGCAGATGAGCACCAAAATTATGTGTTTAAAAAAGACGTAACTAACTACAGGGATGTTAACTGCAGTGGTCCATGATAGTCTGGTCATCATGATATCCATACTGCGCACTGAGTCTGGCCATGCAAACTTCTAGACCATCAAGGTCGGTCTGTGGGGCCTCAACCTGGACAGCCATGACTGGAACATGTACTCCAGCCATCTCCAGCTCTGGCCTGGTGCCCTCATGGCTCTCTGGCAGCCCAGACAGAGTTTCATCACCCCCTTCATCTGCATCTCCCACTTCATCCTCCTCTTCCTCCTCTTCTTCATCTTCCTCTTCCTCCTCTTCCTTGTCTTCTTCTTCCTCCTCCTCATTCCTCCCCATCACCTGCTCTTCTTCTTCTTCTTTTTCCATTTCTCCCTCCTCTCCCTCTCCCTCCTCCTCTTCCTCTCCCTCCTCTTTCTTTCCCTCCTCTCCCTCTCCCTCCTCCTCCTCCTCTTCCTCCTCTCCCTCCTCCTCCTCTTCCTCTTCCTCCTCCTCCTCTGGCTGAAACCTGCTAACCCAGTAATAGTCTTTTCCAATAGCAAAGCGGTAGAAGTTCATCAATGCCACTTTCTCCTGGCTCATGTTTCTTAGAGCAGAGATATCTTGTCTGTCAGAGAAGTTGATGAGAGATGTCAGCATACACCCTCCACCCACACCACTGTATACTGCATTCCCTGTGAAGAACAGATGTGTTTTTCACTTCCAACATTGTAAGGCTGTGTGAAACAGGGAAGCTATGTAGAGTAGCCCGCTCCATTAGCCAACACCTGACTACATCAGAGAGTCGGTAGACTCTCTATATAGGGATGACACGGGTGAAATCTCACGTGATCCGCGTACA